GGCGATTATGTGGACATCAAGGCCAACGCCTCGATCCACAAGGGTATGCCGTTCAAGTTCTACCACGGCAGGACCGGCGTCATCTGGAACGTGACTCCCCGCGCTGTCGGCGTCGAGATCAACAAGCAGGTCCGTAACAAGATCATCAAGAAGAGGATCCACGTCCGCATTGAGCACATCCAGCCCTCGAGGTGCAGGGAGGACTTCCTCAAGCGCGTGAAGGCCAACGACCTCGCCAAGAAGGAGGCCAAGGCTAAGGGTACGTTTCTCTTATTTCGTTGCCTATTCAAGACAAATTGCTGCATGTTCGGGGTCTAATTCGCATCTTATCAAATGACCTTAACAGGCGTCAAGGTGCACCTCAAGAGGATGCCCGCCCAGCCCAAGCCCGGCAGGATTGTCAAGGCTAAGGCCACTTCCGCCACCACCATTGCCCCCCTCAAGTACGAGCTTCTTGTGTAAAAGCAGTCTTCCGATGGATAAAAGAACGACTTCGCCCCGACTTCATCCCCCCTTTCCTTCATCGTCCCATTTTCGTGCAAAAGATCTTGCTCGTTGTCCTGCAATTCAGCTGTGTGCAGGCCCTGGTGCGTCAAGACGCCTTGGTTTATCAGCTTCGGTCTCCTGCGAGGCCTCGTCTTTGGGACGCAAAAAAAGGGTTGTTTCGACCACCATGGAGAAGATGCCGGCAGTTCGAAACCTCCAGCGCGTGCACGCCTTCGTTCTTACGCGGACTGGCATTTTTAATTGCCCCGCGACCTACAGGTCAGTTTGCAGGTGATGTGCGACCACACAGGCTGCGTGGAGGCCTGGCGCGTACACTGCCAACCGGCTGCTCATGGGCAACCCTGGCGTGGCGAAAGGCGTCAGCCTGGCCGTACTGTTCGGGGGGTTGCCTGCGCGCCAGGGACCGACATTCCTCACTCCTCATCGCAGTCTCCTCTTGGCCTGCAATGCCGTGCCTGACAAGCTTTTTTCGATAGGGGCAGGCATCATCCACATGAATGGCTGTGGTGCCGAAGCGTCCATCAGTCTTGTGCGAAATGGTCCTCTTCACCCAAGATCACCAAGCCTGATAGGCACAATGCCCGGATGGCGTGACCACGCCCAGATAGGCACAACCTTTTTTCCGTACCCTGCGTTGCTGTATTTTATGATCATTTTTCGCTCCGGAGTGGCCAACCCGACTGAAATTTCTTCGTTTTTCCGCTAAAGCAAAAGAAAAACAAAAGGAAAAGGGGACATAACGCAACACGTGGCTCCACAAGGCGCATTCAAGAAGGCAGTTGATACCAAGTGTTTGAACACAATCAGCGATGAATTTAAAATACGCAGCTGTCTCTTCCCTGCTGGCTGGGTTCTGCATCTGGCGGACGATTGTCAACACATCGAACCCCGCCCAGGCCCTGGCCTATCTTCTGGCATCCAAGGCTTCCATGCTGGTGCACACTCTCGCCCTTTATTCATCACTGCCTGCACGTTTGTTCACCCGATGTGACGCCGTTGTCTAACTCGGAATCGAAAATCACTTTTTCTGATGATGGATGCAGGTGTTGGCCAACATGGCGTACGTGCTGCTGTTTGCCAGCTGGAAGTCCATACAGCATCTCATCTTTGGCGAATTGCGCGAGTTTGAACGCAAGGTACATTCCTGCACCGCCCAGCAAGCAATCTCCTACGTTCCTTCCCAGCACTGCTCTGCATCGATTTCTGCTGACATTGATTCCTTCATGGCCGGATGCAGAGATTGAACGACAGGCTCCTCAAGTACATTCTGTTCAAGATCGTATTCGTGGGCTCCATCTTGGAGATCTCCAGCATGAGCGTGCTCTCTATCTGGGCGGGCTGGTTTTCTGTCTTGGGCTTCCTCAAGCTCTTCTCTCTACTCTCCCGCGACCGCTTTGAATACGTACGTCGCCTGGCCTGTCTGGGGTTCTTCTGCTCTTACACTCCCTCTCCACCTCAATGCCCGTCTTTCTCACCAAACACACGTTTCTTCTTCTTCTTGTTGCTGCATGCAGCTGGTCACCTACAAGCCCAGCACGCCGCTGGCAGTGCACGGCCGCATCTTTGCGTTGCTCGTGAGCATATTGCTCATCGATGCCCTCTGGTTCGCCGCCAGTGTGAGCATCTTCGGACCTGCCGGCACTTCCGTCGTG